TCCCGCTGGGTGTCCAAGCGCAGCATCTCTCCCTCACATTCTTCCATACAGGCTGTCCTGGAGTACCTGCTCCACTTGAGGAATCAGGGCCTGGCACACTCTTCCATTAGAGTATATCTAGCGGTCATCTCCGCTTTTCACTCGCCAATCCAAGAACAGATGGTGTTTTCCCATGGTATAGTGGTCAGATTCTTGAGGGATCGAGAAACTCTTCCTTCAGGTTCGGCCTCCTGTTCCGCAGTGGGATCTTAACTTGGTCCTTTCTAGGCTCACTGGCCCGCCCTTTGAGCCTCTGGGTTCCTGCTCCCTTTCCCACCTGTCATGGAAGGACGCATTCCTGGTGGCAGTGACGTTAGCAAGACAGGTCTCTGAAATTAAAGCCTTGACCTCAGAACCTCCGTACACGGTCTTCTACAAAGATAAGATTCAGTTGTTGCCCCACCCGGCCTTCCTCCCAAAGGTTGTTTCCACCTTCCATATGAACCAGAACATCTTCTTCCCAGTGTTCTGTCCCAAACTGCACAAGACCAGTGAGAAGAGGTGTCTTCATGCCCTGGACGTCCAGAGGCCTTGGCTTTCTACTTAGAATGTACCATGCCCTTCTCAACTCTTCATTGCTACAGCAGATAGGATGAAGGGTCACCCGGTGTCCTCGCAGAGGATTTCCAGTTGGATCACCTAGTGCATAAGACCTGTTACGACCTGGTGGGGGTTCCGCCATCGCCAATTGTCAGAGCCCACTCGACAAGAGCATGGGCGTCTTCAGTGGCCTTCCTGGCACACATCCCTATCCAGGACATCTGAGAGCCACAACGTGGTCCTCTGTTCACACGTTTACCGCTCATTATGCCATCACTCAGCAGGCCAGAAACAACACTGGGTTCAGCAGAGCTGTGTTGCAATCTACAATTCCGTGAACTCCTACCCACCTCCAGGAGTACTGCTTTGGAGTCACCTAATATGGAATGGACATGAGCAAGCACTTGAAAAAGACAGTTACCTTTTCCGTAACTGGTGTTCTACGAGATGCGTTGCTCATGTCCATTCCACAACCGACCCTCCTTCCCCACTGTCAATGTTTCCGGCAAGAAGGAACTGAGGGTGAGGGGGAGCCAGCGGTGCCCCTTATACCGCGCCATGTGGGTGCCACTCCAGAGGGCGCCAGAGCTGGTCCCCTACAGATACTGCTGAGGGAAAAATTTCCAGCACCAGTGCATGTGGCGAGCACACACACCTAATATGGAATGGACATGAGCAACACATCTCAAAGAACACCAGTTACAGAAAAGGTAACTATCTTTTTCTAGCTATAACAGAATACTATACATTTTTTTATTTTACAGAAAGGCCTTATTTGGCACAAGAAGCCATTTGGATATCTGGCATGAATATGTGTATCTACACGAGCTGCTGTCTGCATCTAAAACACATAAATTATTTCCAAATATCAAAGACTCTCAAGACTATTTAGACTCTCTAAAGACTAAATAAAAATGATGGCGCACTGTAGACTCTCTGGACCAAATTATGTTCTGATTCATAATGGTGCAAGCTCATTGAAATCAATGGATTTGCAATGGATTAATTGAGACCAGATTATGGTCCTTTTACACTTACACTATATTAGACTCCCTTAATCCTACCCACACCTACCTACTAATATGTGAATTAGTGTAAGGGGATGTAAGTTTATGTAATGTGCACATGAAGAGCCAGAAAAAAATGTGTATGTGTGTATAAATTAAAATACAACACATTCTTACTCATTCCTGTTAGTTGCTTTTCTTACTACACTTCTCTCTTTTTGTCTCCTCAGTGCACGACATATACCAGCGTACATTCCCTTATACTCAAGCCTGGGGACCCAAAATTGGGGCAATAAATAAGATACAGGGGGCATCTAATTGCATTTTGATAAATAAAAGGGAATTTAAATGGGTCTGGAGGAAGTCCCATTTGATAAGCATTTGCTGTCAGTGGTGTCAGGAGAAGGTTAAAATTCTATGTTAACTAAAGATCCCTCTAAACTTTCTTAGACCCAATTCTGAATTTAAAAATTTGGCCATGCATTGCTGTGTGCATGAATTAGTTTGTCTCAGTATAGAGAGCGATTTTACATATTTAGGCATAACAATGCAAGTCAAAGTAAGTTTTCAACCTTAATATTATTTCAGTGTGTCTGAATACACAAAATAAATGTCAGTTCTTTAAAGAGGAGCCAAATTCTGAATGAAAAATTCAGGTATTCGCTCTGTTTGAGAATCTTTATATTAATTCTTGTAGAACTTAAGTTTATCATGTTAATTTATGAGGAATATGTCAGAGCCTGCAGTATTCCAGAGACAAGTAGTAATTAATTAATCTGTGATCCACTTTACTGATAACATAGTAGTGAAAACTAAATTTCAGCTAGTTTAGGCATCTTTTCCTTTCTTGTGGTACTAATTATAGGATTCAAAATGTATAACACTTTTCCGTCCATAGAGCCATTTTACACACCAGGAATTGGAGATTATCTCACCGGGGTAATATATATTCATATTTTGCAATGGAATATCATTCATTCTAATAGACGAGGAAACCGGTATTTTTAATATCAGGAGGTAGCCGTGTTAGTCTGTATCCACAAAAACAACAAGGAGTCAGGTGGCACCTTAAAGACTAACAGATTTATTTGGGCATAAGCTTTCGTGGGTAAAAAAGCCTCACTTCTTCAGGTGCAACATCTTCAGGTATTTTTAATATAACCATTTAAAATGAATTATCAGAAGTAAATATAATCCTTCTTTTTGAACTAATATATGGTCTTTACTAAATAGCTTATATCCTTGTCTTTGGTGATAATGTGATGCAAAAACGTAGTTTCTTCCCATGCTTGTTGGACATCTGTTTGACCAACTAATCAGTCATAGAGCCCCCCTCCTGGACTTGGGGAGAGGGGGCTCTGTGGCTGATTAGTTGGACAAACAGATGAAGCCTTAGGCTAATGCAGGGGTGGACAAACCTTTTGGCCCGAGGACCACATCTGGGTATGGAAATTGTATGTGGGTCATGAATGCTCATGAAATTGGAGTTGGGGTGCAGGAGGGGGTGAGGGCTCTGGGGTAGGGCCAGAAATGAGGAGTTCAGGGTGTGGGAGGGGGCTCCGGGCTGGGGCAGGGGTTTGGGGTACAGGAGAGGAATCAGGGCTGGGGCAAGGGGTTGAGGCATGGGAAGGGGTCAAGGGTGCAGACTCCAGGTGGCGCTTACCTCAAGCAGCTCCTGGAAGCAGCGGCATGTCCCCTCTCCGGCTCCTATGCGGAGGTGCGGCCAGGTGGCTTTGCGCGTTCCCCTGTCCTTAAGCACCACCCCTGCAGCTCCCATTCACCGCAGTTCTTGGCCAATGGGAGCTGCAGGGGTGGCGCTTGGGGCAAGGGCAGCACACGGCGGCCCCTAAACGGAGGGGGGACATGCTGCTGCTTCCAGGAGCCTCAGCAGATATGCAGGGAGCGGCCTCCAACCCCGCTCCCCAGCAGGAGCTCGAGGACCAATTTAAACTGGCTGGAGGGCCAGATGTGGCCCACGGGCTGTAATTTGCCCACCCGTGGTCTAATGGCTCCTGTGGACACAACGGGAGAGCTTATAAATTCTGCACCAGAAAGCAAGGCTCCCTTTTCCCTCTTGGGATTAGAGTAGTACGAGGTTTGGGGGCCTTGTTGTGGGCATCATGCCAGTCGCCTTTTGGGGGCTGGGAAGAAATATTTTTCCTCACTGCCAGTTTAGCCAGGGTGGTGTGGGTTTTTTCACCTTCCTTGCAACAATCCCGAGACCTAAAGGGTAGGTTAGGCTGTAAAATCCATTTTGTTGCAACTTGGCAGGTGCTTAGTGCAGGAAGTCATTCAGTAGGAGGTCCAGTTCCCTGATAAACTGGAAATGGATTAGTAGAAAGCACCTCCTAAAGAATTAATAGGGTTAGGGCCTCTAATCTCTGGAGACAATCCCCTTTCCGACCTACCCCCAATTAACCCTTCTACAAGTGGAGGGTGATGGGGATCAGCAATGATGCTGGGAACAGGTTGACAAGATGGAGGGCTGATGGCAGCTTCTCCACCAGGTGGTACAAATTACAAAGGAAGGATGACTTGCACTGGCTGAATCATTGAGATATGTTACTTAATAAAGGCTAGTTAAACCACAATCCTGGTGTCTTGTCTGTCTTCCTGTGGGGCCTGGGACAAAAACTTTCAGGCCTTTATTATGCTTCATAAAGAAACAAACAAACAAAAAAGAAAAGGAAAACAAAAAAGGGGGCAGGGAGAGAAAATTTACCCATTCCCATCCTTCTTTTGCAGGTCACTTTTAGCAGACCAAGCTAACTGATATTACATGAAAACATCTGTTCACATATATAACTACATTTTGCAATTTAGAACTTTTGTTTTATTGTTACATTTCATTTTTTCTTATGGGAAAAATCATAATGACTGTATTATAGTGTCTCTTCAAAAAGGTGTTTCAGATTACTGCAGAATATATTCTAATAGAAAATTAAAATGCCAAATGGTATGTTGTATCTATAAACAAATCCCCTTAATGCAAGTACTTTCCAAGAAATACTGTGTTATAAGGCATTATTTTGGTTGTCTGCTCTTTATTGATATTGTATAATGCCAGGCAAGTTCGAATAATAACTTCTTATTGTGCAAGGGGGAAAGTATTCATTCAGCAATTCATATGTTAACAATAAGGCAAAGACAATTGTTCTTTAATATCTCAAAGGCACTTTATCTGTTTGTTCAGGCTCAAAATGTAGCTCTCACTTTTAAATGCAATAATTCAATGAGAATATCCTTTATAAAAATATCTTTCTTTAAAACCAAACAAAGAAAATAAAAATGAAAAATGCTACCAATTTCAGTATGATCCAGCTGAAATACATTGTATAAAAATTTGACAGTGTCCCTTTAAAAGAGGCTACTGTACATGAGACATTCATATTGTTCCAATATTGTTGTTTACAGACTGAAGAATTTACCATTCACTTTTACTAAGCTTAAAGAACTTGCAGCTTTGTGGCTATCTGACAACCAGGTAATAACTTTTAATCTATGTCTTTTCATTAGTAGTAAAGAGCAAGATATCTTGGTAAGGGCCATAGATAAAACCTATGTTTTAACAGACTATTGTTAGATTTATGAAGCTTTTAGTCCCAGCAGTTTCCATGTCCTCTGTATTAGCTACAATTTTAGATATAGGTTCTGCTGAATGTTGTGGTATTAATTGGGAAAGCTCACCTTTGAGGGATTTACTGCTTTCATCAGGTGGGATTGTATGTCCTGACCAAATTTAATAAGTTAAGGCCAGAGGACTCTAGTGAATGGGATCACTCGTGGCCTGTGTTGGGACACAAGGACCCAAGGATTTTATACTGGGCATATTCTCTGTCTTTTGTATCCCTTAATCCTTCTGTGCCTCCATTCTTGTCTTCTGGCTCCCCATTCCCTATCTATTCCTGTTTTTGTTTACTCCTTCTCCCCCCCCTTTTTACCTCTTCATGTGGAAGAGAGATTTTTCCATTAACCTTTACACATGAGGCTCTCATTTGGTGTTTTGCTATCTTTCTAGGCTTTTAAATTATCAATGACAACTCTTTAATTCTTGCTAATAGAAAGTAAACATAGTAATTAGAGCTAGGATAAGTGTCTTAAGTCCCATTGTCAAAATTGACTTAGGTATTTAGTAGCCTAACTCTCACTGATTTTCATCTTCTTAGTGCTGAGGGACTTTAGGCACTTCTGAACATTTTAATCCTCGTCTAAAATGGGGAAGGTGGGAGTCACAAAAATTCATGAAGAGGTTTTTTTTCCTTGGTTTTCTTCTAAATAAAGGTTTCATTAGAAAAGTTTGCAACCAGAGCCAATAATATTTTAAGTGTTCTAGGCTTAATCCTCAGCTGGTGGATATCAGCATAGCTTTGTTGAAGTCAATGGAATTATGCAGATTTACATCATCTGAAATTCTGGTCCTCTGTGCATTTTCCATTTTTCTTTTCTTTTTAAAAAAGCCCCAACATTACAACTTCTCAATTTTTTTACTTTTGCCACAGCTAAGCCATGACAAGCAACCCACCTTAGGCCCAGATCCTACAAATATTTATGTACTATTCATGCATTTAAAGTTAAGAACATTCATAAGTTTTTGCAGGATCAGAGTCTTATTATTCGTCTGTAGCATGAAAATCTGTAACTACTGATCCCAGAGTTCCAGAAATAATATGTTGGTCAAGTCCTAAGTGCCAAATCTTATAGTCTTCACTTGGTCCCTATATTCCTGCACTCTTTGAATAACCTAAACTTCCACTAAAGTCAATGTGAGTTTGGGGCATGTAAAGAATGCACAAAGAGGGTCCTCAGTCCTTCTTTAGAGAAAACTTTCATCAACTTCGGTTGGAGTTTCTTGAGTGCTCCTAGATTTGGTCCAATGTTAAAATGTTAACAGTCATCTTTATATGTTAATATTGTCTGTATTTTTAGGGATTTATTGTTAAACTAATTATGCAGCCAGCATTAGTGCTCAGAAATGTAACAATCAACCAATTTACACTTTGTAGATTAAGACCTATCAACCACTACGAATGTTCGTAGAAAAAGGAATTCACATTTTTAGGCATTTAGGCACTGTTACTCTAAAGGGAAAAGAAACTAATTTTCACAAAAAGTAAATATTCAACGTAGCTAAAAGTGATACTTCCATTATTGCAATAACTTCAATAACCTCTTCTTTTTTTCTCTAGAATTGTACACTTATTGCAAATAACTGTTGCCTCTTGAATTCAGGTCTGATCAGTATAATTTTGCATGGTCCAAACTTCCTATCACTATAAACTAATCCATTCTATTTGTGTGCAAAAGCCACTGAGACCCTGATCCTGCAACTGCCTCTCAAGGTTTGTCTACACTGAGTGTAAGCCCATGCTTGAGCCGGGCTGAAGCCTAACCCCCCTTGTGTCAACACTGCAATTGAGCTAACACAGGGCTCAGACCTAAGGTCTCGGGATCCTGCAGGACTGGATGGTCTGAGTTCAAGTTAAGCCAGAACCCAGGGTCTCAGCTCTATTGCTTAATTGCAGTGTAGACACAGCCCCGCTTGACTCAGATTCCAAGAGTCAGCTGGAAGTATCCCACAATTCCATGGGATAATTTCCTTAGTCCTCTCTATCCCAGCGATCTACAATCCACTCTATTGAAAATGGAAGCCACCCCCACTTTGCCAACGGCAACAGCTCAGGTCAGCATTAACCCATTCTCTTTTGATCACCAATCTGCAAGCACAATATCAGAGAGCCTCCTGGGTTTGCAATGGAGAGTGAATCAGTCAAGCCTTTTGCAAAGCGAGCTGCTTCAAACTTTCTGCAACACACAGGACAGCTAGTAAAATTTTCTCACAGTGCACCTTGGTCCTAGGTCTAGAGCAGTCACATTGGGAGGGAGGGGGTACTAGGGACTCTAGGATGTGGTTACTTGGAGCCGGGTCTGTGCACTGTAGTGTGGATGCCAGAGTCCTAGGTTCGAGCATGGGTTAGAAAAGTCTCAATGTAGGGTTAAAATACAATGTAGACACTCAAGCCCAGGGTTCCCTAATGTGGATCAGCTGACTCAAGTCCCACTAACCCTGGGTTTACATTGCAATGTAGACATTCCCTATGTGGAAGGACTCCTGTACCTGTATTGAGTACTGTTGACTTCAGTGAGGTTTAGCACAGACACAGAGGTCTGTTTGTGCTGAGTCAGTTGCAAGACTGGGGCCTAAGAGGTTCCTCTCCCAACAAACATAGAGTATATATATTGCTGACTCATGTTTAATAAGTAATAGTTCAGCATTACTTTGCTCACCATAAGAACAAATTTAATCAAATAAGGAGATTTATTGTTAATACCAAGTAATTTTACTCATTCTTAATGTTATTTTTACTTATATAGCTAATTTTCAGAATTTTAAATGACATCTATATACCTGAATGTAAAAAGCAAGCAAACAAACTGACGGGAGGAGGGTGGAAAACAATGTGTGGACTTCAACGCAGTAAACTAGAGCCTTCTCTCTCTTCCCCTTCCTATTCCTACCTGTCAAAAACTGATCAGTAGAATGTGACCTCTTACAAACATAGAAATATCACCCCAAAATAATAAGAAAAGTTAATGTGGACAATTGAGTGCCTGCTTAAGAGCCCATCTAGCTTGCACACCAACTGAGAGCCTATATTCTTTTAAGGACACATTATTTTCTTCAACTTATTGGACTTTTCTACAAGATTAATTTACATTAATTTAATTAAAATATACCAGTATCATCAGAATACTCATTGGGCCTTCGAACACAATCTCTAGTCACTTGCACCAGTTTTATACCAGTGTAACTCTGCTGCCTTCAGTGGAGTTACTCCTGATTTACCCAAGCGTGAATAAGATTAGAATCAGACACTCGGTGCTTAAACTGTTCCCCTTCCCACCCTCCTCTGCTTCTCATTTCACTCAGTCACTACAGTGTGTCAGACTTTGTTTTCCTTACACTGGAAATATTTCTACTGAAGTCAGTAGGAATGTTATACATGTAGTAAGAGTGAGGGATCGAAGAAAAAAATTCCACATCAGAATAATATGTTTTTTCAGTCAGCAACTGTAAGAACAGTTTCATTTAGACCAAGGACACTATTCTTACTTTCTTTTTATATTTTCTATTTATCAGATCATAAAATCTGATTTTCTTGCAATTCTTATAAACAATCTTTCATTTTTTCTTTATAGTCCAAAGCCCTTATCCCTCTGCAAACTGAGGCCCATCCAGAAACAAAGCAAAGAGTACTGACTAACTACATGTTTCCTCAGCAACCCCGTGGGGATGAAGGTAAAATACTGTCAGCAATGTATTACAAAGGCAAAAACATGTTTATAATGCTTATTTAAATCCTGGTGAGAAAATGGGGAGTTTATTTTTAAATATTGAAACCATGGTTCCATGGATGAGAATAGCTACAGTTGTTTATATAACAAACAGTGTATACAAGGCAGTATGTGTTTAGTCATACTGAAAGGGTTCTAAACAGGCTCTTTTTGTATGTTAAATCTAAGGTTTCCCAAGTCCTTAATTTTGGATTGAGATTTGTTCTCCCTTTTCTTTTTTTTTGGGGGGGGGGGGGGATGCAAGGGGCAGGAGGATCAGAATTGTGCCTTCTGACACACTGTATAAACCCCCTGAATTCACTTCATTAGGGTTGCCTGGGGCCAATGAAAGGCAGAATTTGGTATGATATTTACATTAGGCAGGAGGATGGCCTGTGCTTTTTCATAGATCTGGTAGCAGAAGGCACTCATCTACCACTTTCCCATCCTCCCTATTCTGACCTAAATTATGATAAGATGGGATGCATTTTAGTCTTCTGCAAAAGCAATCCTGTGACCTCACTAGGAGTCTTGAAATCCTATAATTGACAATATTTAGTTCAAACACAGCCAGTTTGCACCACCCCTTTCAACTTCACCTTATTACATTAAAAATTATGTAACTTGTTTATAGGTTGTGAAAAATTTTTGTTACTTTTCACACCCTTTGGATGATTTAAGTGTAAAACCGAAGGGGGTGCAGGCCTCAGCACAACATAAGTTTTTGTGGTTTAGAGTTTAAACATTTCATTTGTTTTGCTTGGTGCACTAGTTACACATTCTTCTTACAAAGCAGTCGTACTAAGCTATTACCTGAATTTTAACTGTAGATTTCCAGTCAGACAGCGATAGCTTTAACCCTACTTTATGGGAGGAGCAGCGACAGCAGCGGATGACTGTAGCCTTTGAATTTGAAGAAAAAAAGGAAGAGGAGGAAAATGCAGGAAAAGTTAAGGTAACTAGTTAGCTTTCACTTTTTCTTGCTTTATATATTGTGGACAAAAGATCCAATACACAAATGCCATGTTAACATGTTTTTATCTTTTAAACTTGCAGAGCGTGTTTGAGACCAAATATAATCATTAATGAAAAATGAGGGGTTTGTTTTCCCTGAAGTATGCACTAATAGTTTCCATTCATGCCCTTGTTACCTGACTATCAAATTTTGAGTTTCTTCTTTGAGTGTTTGCTCATGTCCATTCCATGCTAGTTGTGTGCATGCCATGTGCACTGTTGCTGGAGACTTTTCCCTTAGTGGTAACCATAGGGCCATCTCTAGTGCCCTCTGGAGTCATGTGACAATATAAGGGGTACCGCCAGCCACACACCCCAGTTCCTCCTTCCCACTCATGACAGTTAATGGAATGATCCTTCTTGCTGTGGCAAGGTCTCCTTCCAGTTGTTTGGACTTTCTCAGTTTATTCTTAAGTTACTGTACTTAGGCTTGGTCTACACTACCCCCCCTAATTCGAACTAAGGTACGCAACTTCAGCTACGTGAATAACGTAGCCGAAGCTCG